TAGGGGGGAAGGGGGAAGGGGGAAGGGGGAAGGACCCAGGAGGAGTAGCAGCAAGAATGGAAGTAAGGGAACAAAGATGCTAAGAAAGAGTTGGTATCAAAAGTGTAGCTAGTTGAAGATATAGGAAACAATTGGGTAGGTTCTGCTCAAAAGCATAAGATGGTGTGGACACCACTAAGGGGGGGGAGTGAGGGGCCTAGGGTAGAGTCATTGCATGACCCCCCTCCAGGCAGAGAAAGGTGCGACTAGGTTCATCTCTGCCTCTCGGCACATCCCCTCCACTCGGACGAGGGCCATAAGTTCAAGCTGCCCTCGACCCCGTCACATGCAGACTTGGCACAAACCAGCCTGATACCCTCCACCTCTCCCCATCTCTACTTGCTCTGATCCAAGTCTTGTACCCTATGCTTGCCGGTGATAAGCAACCGGAATGGTGGCCCCCAAAAATAGAAAGGGGTTTGTGTTCCTTCCAAAAACAAAAAAAAAGAACCTCGTCTAGCCCCAAGAACCGGTACTGACCGGTGTGCGACTGAACCGTGTGACTCAGTGAGGGGTCTGTCTACGTCTTGTGTTCGTCTTGCGGGGGATGTTACTTGAGTCAAGGAGCCACATCGTTCTGTTTGCGGCGTTAAAGAATTCCTGAGGACAATTGCTTGCAGTCCTTAAATTGTTGGTAGGCTCGTTGACCTCGCTTTGGAACCGGTAGTGACAACCATAGTCGGGGAAGGGAAAGTAAGTGAGTCAAACCTCATGTGATTAAGCGTTGAGGGTTAGGTCCTAAGTGTTGAGGAGGTAGAACAACGTTGCTTACCTGTTGTGTCTCCGATCACCATGATGACTACCCGATGTTCGCTTTTCTGGCCTTATCCATTATCCGGGAGCTTTTGAAAATGATATTTCTGATAGGATTTTCTCAGACGTGCATGATGCATATGAGGTGGAAAAGAAAAAGGTGGAGGAGGAGAAAAGAAATAAACAGAAGGAGAGAGAAAAGAAGGAGATTGAAAAAAATAAAAGAAATTTGAGGAGGAGAAGCAGATGGAGTTTTAAGAAGAAGAGGAAGAAAAAAAGAAATGAGAAGAAAAAAGATAAGAAAAAGAAAGAAACGAAGGTTGGCAGAGGGGAGAAAGGCAAAGAAAAAGCAAAATCCAGCGGTCCACCCCCAACAACCCAAATATTTTCCTTAGAGGACACAGAGACGTAGAAGGAGGCAATTGGGTACCTCAGAGGAAGCAATTGCTGGAAGACCTTGAGGCGGAGGTCGAGCGATGCAGGCCGCCGCGACTGCAGCATAAGGGGAGGAAAAGGAAATCTGAGAGCAAGAGCAACAGTTTGAGCAAGCAAGAGCAACAGTTTGAGCAAGCAAGACAGGCAATGGAGAAGAAGAAGAAGGGGCTAGAACAGAAGAAGAAGATGCTGCAAGAAGGGGCAACATTGATAGACCCATTACAAGAAAGGATGAAGAAGGAATCTAACCTTGACTTTACCCTTTTCTCCCAACTGGCCCTCCACTCCGCCAATAAAACTGCTGTCATGCGTGTGACCGTAGAAAACCTGGCTGAATGTGAGGATGCAGTAATCAATAAATGGAGTAGTTTGTTAAAGCACACCTACAGACTAGTGCATGGTACATGCCAAGAGTATGCTAGTCGCATCGCCAACTTTTGTAAGGCGAAGATAAGCAAGAGGATGGGGAAGGACCCTGGTGGAGGAGATGGCGATGACAAAGATACTCATGGAGACTGGAAAGGAAAATGAAAGGAGGGAGAGATCAAGGGGGAACGAAGGGACAAAATAAAAGTACCCTTCACGTCTAGTCGGAAAAGGAAGAAAACATTAGGCAATGGGAGGCGGCCATACGGACGTACCTTTGGGCGTAGAAGATCCCATATAAGGGACAAGTGCTGATGGCAGTTTCCAGTCTAGGGTATGATGCACTGGACTACGCCATATTGTTTGCTGATGCCATCGGTTGTGAGAGGAACATGGTCCGGTGTTCAAAATAACACTGATATAGATACCTACCTACATGTACCGTTCGATCAATTTGAAGATAAGAATCACGCTAGATGGACCGTGTACCTCATCCTAAATATAGAGCGGTGATAGTGGAAGAGCGTGGCAGCACTGAAGGCCACCATGGACGAAGTGTTCCAGGTAAAGGACCATGGAGCCACCCCCTCTCAGATGTTGAATCACTTCGCCCTAGCATTGCCCGACCCCCTCAAATCCCAACTGTATGCTAACTCCCAGGAGCATGGGCGAACCTACAAAAATTTTAGTACGCTCTGGAACAGGCCAGGTTTCTGCAGCAGGCCAATTACCACTTTGTAAGGGCATTTAGAAAGGTGTGAAAATTGGAAAGGGAAGACCATCTATGGAAACATTCAAAGGAAGGACAATTTATTCACGTTTGAGGGAGCGGGAGTAGAGGACCTCCCCTATGAGTAGATTGATTCTGGGTTGGTTGAGGACTGTCAATTCCCCACCAGGAACAGCTTCCACTCCTACTGGCCGTTCCCTTTTGCTGGATGTCGAAGCTTAGGGTAAAGGGCACGACACTACACCTTATTCCCAACATCGGTGAGAGCAAAATTCCCACCTCTTCCTCCTTGGGGAAAGGAACCGCCTTTGCTTCCTTGCAGGGAACCATATCTCTTTTCTCCGTCATGTAAGCCTTCACTGCTTCCATTCCCCTAGGTGGCAAGACCTCTTCCTCCACTTTCTCCACCATGGCCTAGATCAGGCTAGACCAGATAGATTGAGACGAACACTTACCTAAGGTAGCCAGCACGTACAACAACCCAGTGCATTTGGCAACTTCACGTGGCCCAAATCAGTTGCACCTGGGAGACAGATTGACTGCCGAAATCCCGATCAGATTCATAGATTGCCGCCATGCACAAGGGAATCCGTGCTGCAGTATGAGAAAGACCTGCAAAAGGTAGCAGAAAACATTCAGAAAGCTCAGCACTACAAGGTGGAACAATCAAACAAACGTTGCAGGCCATCGAAATCTGCTGTTGGAGATTTTGTCTGGCTAAAAGCCAAAGAGTTTCTGCTGGAGGAGCAACTTTCTAAAAAAATATTCCCTGCCTACAGAGGGCCGTGGGAAGTCATGGAGGTGATGGGAGATCCAGACGGTTCGTCCTATGTGATTGATATCCCATGCCATCTGCGTACTTACCTGGTATTCCATCTTCTAAGTTACTGCCTTGCGTCAGCAGCAATGCATTTCGCTCAAACCAATCATTGATACCACCTAATATGGATGGGACCGTATTGTTGATGAAGATGTGTGTATAAGTCCGGCAGGAGGGGAAGGCCACAGCAGCAGTACAAGGTCCGGTTCCAGTACCAGGAACCGGAGGATGATCGATGGTACATGAGAAATTAATTAAAAGAGACTGCTCCTAACATCGTGCCGTACTATGAAAGAGCTAGGGGGGGAGCCAGCATTGCAGATAGGTAGAAAGGTTGGATCTTTAGCAGAGGACCTCAAAATTAGACCGACAGGAGTGAAAAGATTTCATACTGCGTCAGTGTCAGTGTCCCGAGTCCCGGTCCCAACGTCCCAGTCGATCCCAGTCCCATATGGTGGCAGACCCAGCGGTCGAGTCACCGGTTTGAAGTCCCCTAGGTCCAGTAGGGTCCAGTAATGGAAGTGTCCTAGATCGTTAGGAGGCATGCCTGATACCTGACAGAAAAAGTCCAAAGTCCCAAAGTATAATTGTGTAGCAGCATCCTGGGGAAGCCCAGAAGGTTCCGAAACTGGCAAAGCGCAGCCAACAGAATGCAGCAATCAGTTCCGGTCTGCAGCCGACAAAGATCTCACTCCAGGTGTTATTTATAGATGCTACAGCACTGCTCACTTCACTTTGTAAATCCATATGTTGCGGAAGCTTTGCTGTAGCACTTGTGTGACCCACCGAGTTGGACAGTCGGGGAGTTCCCCATCGCTAGATTGAGCAGGAAGGAAGAAGGCCGCCATAGCCGATAGGGCATCGAGAGGGAAAGAGGCGAGTGCATTCAAGCAATCCAAGGATTGAGAGTGAGAGGTGGAAGTGTTGAGAGAACAAGGGAGAGTGAGTGAGGCTGAGCGATTGAAGTGACGATACACACACACGCACACACACACACACACACACACACACACACANAGAGAGAGAGAGAGAGAGAGAGAGAGAGAGAGAGAGAGAGAGAGAGAGAGAGAGAGAGAGAGAGAGGGATTACCTGTTCGATGTTGTTGGCGACAGCGGCCATAACTGCTTGTACCCCGAACTCAGTTCTTGTACAATGTCAAAGGTGTTGAAATGTTTCACTATTCTTTTCGAGCCACTTCTCACAGCATCTATGGTATCTCTCATGGGGACACAGCATCTATGGTATCAGCGTCTCATTGCATTTCCATTATTCTTTTCGACCCACTTCTCACAGCATCTATGTGATCTGTCATTGGAACACAAAACCCCATGCCCTTTGAGCTCCTCAGTTCTCACACGGATTGAACAGGATCACACTGGCAAAGAAGACACAACAAACTGGAAATGGAGTAATTGTTCTTCTTCTGATGCAGTATGTAGATCCCACTGGCTACTGTCTTCACCCGAATACAATGCACGCCACATTGTACGGTCATTATAGCTGTATTTGGGGCAACTTCGAGTCTAGATGCAGCAATAATGATCGTACGTTGTAATCGGGTGAAGATGGTAGGATTTCGTTGATCTTTCATCTCCCCTTCATAGGGAAGACTTGCAAATGTTGCCTGGGAGTTGGTCCTTTTTCTCCTTGTGTTTTCAATCAGAGAGGCTAGGCTACGGGACATCTCCGTAGTTCGCACACCATCGGAGAGAAGATTAGCATCGGCCCTGCACATGGACATGCACAAACTGAGAAATGGACCAAGTGGTCCAAAAATTTATTATTATTGCCCTTTTCGAAAAACACAGCAAGACCAACATTTCGGACTTCATGTTTCCCCATTGTTTCCTTTCCAGATTGCTGGTCTGCAGAAGAATAGTTCTCTTGATGAATTGGTCCTCCAAGGCTGTGTACTCTCTGATAAGGGAGGATTTATGATGGCGAATGTGATTAAGGTAAGCTGCTTCACTTCGAGCCTTCGCTCCGTATCCCCTAAACATCTTCCCTAAATAGTAAATATAGATCCATGTGGCTTTCTCTCCCTCCCTCCCTCCCTCCCTCCCTCCCTACCTCCCTACCTCCTCCCTCCTCCCTCCTCCCTGCTAGGATACCGTGAACAGGAAACTTAAATCACAAGCACTTTGTTGCCATAGTCCGACATTGACTCAACGACAACAATGAAGCAATGATCACATATGAAAAAAAAATACCGGCGATATCGAAGTCTCTTGATGAAGAACCGAAACCCCGTTCTTGCCTCCAGCAATCAATGGCGAATAATATGAATAATGTGCAGTGCCTCTCTCTTCTTCCAGCAACCGGCCAATCTGACCACTCGCCCTGCCACTAGCCTAGAATAGCCTACTCTACCAGCATAAGAATAATGTGTAATGCTTCACTCTTCCTTCTTATTCTTCTTTTCACTAGGCGTAAACAGGAATTGGTTTTAGTACTGTGTTTCTGGAGAGCGGCCACTCTCCACACTGGAGTCGGACATTTACTTGTATTGATGTTGGAAGTGGAGATTCTGGAGATCAGGAGGCCGAGATTCTAGTTGTGAGGGAGTTGAGGGAGAGATTATCTTTGGCCACATCCGGGATGATATGCCAACTTTTCATCCTTTATTTGGGGACTGTTTCATCCATGTATGTTCTCTCTCTCCCAACATCACATGTTGTGTGTTGAGGTCCTCTACTCACATTGACCACACAGGCTTGGTGGTGGTTTCTGCTCAGAGAGAGCATGATTTAAGTGTTCTGCTGTGCGTTGCTCTACTCTCCTATCATAGGATTCGACCTTGGTTTTCCTGCACATCCAATTGCTGATTGGGCTTGTATCAGCTATCATCACTGGAGCGACAGAGGTGTGCCAGGCCATTTGACGAAAAGAAGAAAAATCGTGTAGAAACTTAGGTGGAAGCGTGGGAAGAGGAAGGAAATGCTACAAGTGGTGCCTTCACATTTTTAATACATATCGCGGGACATAGTCAACGGATTTTGACAGCTCTTAACTGTCAGATTATATCTTCTGAATATCTCCTCCATAAGACCCCCCTCTCTCACTTCCTGGCTGGTCTGCTGTTTCTCCCTGGTCCACGCTGTGCAGCCTAGGTGGGTCCCTCAAAAACTGGTGAAGAGGGAGAGGGTGAGAGGTGTGGGGAGAAGACCATCCAAAATAAAAGAAACCAATTCTTATAATCAAATCCATGATGATTGTTGTAAAGCTAGGCATCATGTGTGGTGGGGACTGCAGGCTCAGGCATCCCAGCAGGCAATGGACCGGTGGCAAGCCACGCTGAGGCAAAGTGGTGGATTTGGAGAGTCACGCAGGGGGAGCTTTGATCCACGTTTACTGGACTCAGATGCTGCTGATTCTGAAGGATACACTGCAGGCGGTCTTGTGGCTGTGGATCTGGCCTGCAACAGGCTGACTGATGAGACGGCCAAAGAAATTGCCTCTGTTCTCCGCCTCAATTCACGAATAACAGGTTATGATCCCTACTTTCTCTTCCGTTCAGCTCAGAGTACACTTTTGCAGTTGGTCGTTTCCTGTGGTAGAATCTGTCTTTCGATGTTATCGTTCTCTTTTTCTATTATGTAACTGATTGAATTTTCACCCACACATCACTCACATGTTCCCATTCACGCATGCAATGAATCAGCAGTCTTGGAGGAGGCAAAACCACACAAAACCGGAGAGAGATATAAAGCAGAAGCTTAAGATACAGAAATAGAAATGAAGTGAAACTTTATTTCTTTATCCCCCTTCCTCCTCCAACCAATCGGGTATACAAAATTGAAAAATCCCATAATCTCAACCGTGTTTCAACAATTGCGAATAAACTCCATGGAATGTTTCAACGAAACTGCTTCTTCCTCGACATCAGCTTCTGCAGGCCTAGCTATGGCGCCATCCCTGAAACAGCACCGAACCTCCAAGCGCCTTCTTCCTCGCGCCACCCCCTATTTCTAAGCGCCACCCTGAAAACAACCCAAAACCCGTCTGCAGAATCGGCGCTCAACCAGGAGGACAACGCAACTCCCTGGATGAAGATGACTTTCACTATCGAAGAACGAAGATGGCTGCCGTCAACACAAGGACCTGGCAGAACCCAACTCCCAGCAGCCCAAGCGTGTCCAGCACCTGCTGCATCCCTGCCCTTCGGTCAGATAGCCACCCCAACTATGGCGGTTGTCTTCTTCTTTTCCAGTCACGACGCTCACAACACAATCCGACAGCAGTTCCCATGCCACCCAAAACGAAAAAGAACCCAAAGCAGTCGGTCCTAAACTATTTCTACTTCTCATCTACGCCCTACCAGACCCTAGGACCTCATGAGGCAGTGCAGGCCTAAAAGTCAGCCTACGGTACCAGTGTCCCGCTGTAGAGAAAATCAGCCCCGGGCCTTGACTTAGGAAGAGTTACCGGAAAGGCCCTGCAGGGACTAGGTTAGTTCTTGCCTTTCTAGATCTTCCTCATAAGCCTTGGCAAACTCTGCAGTGTCAAGAGTCGTTTTGGGCTTTGCCTTATCGATGATGCCATCGAGAGGCTGTCTTATGTCTCTACCTCAATGGAGTCTTTAGGGCTCCAGTAGTGTTGTGAACAGATGTGTTATACATCAATTGCGCCCTGGACAAATGTTTGTCCCAATCCTACTGATCAGGCAGGATCACAGGTTGCAGAGCTGAAATAAGATCTAGTTTATCACCTCAACCTATCCATTGGCTTCAGGACGTCTACCAGATGTCATGTCAAGTCTAGAGTGGAGGTAATCCTGACAGTAGGATCGCCACTTATCTTGCAAAAGCATGGGTCTCTGTCACTGACAATAGAGGTTGGGTGCCCATCGACACCCACCCACCTCTTACAGAATACAATCTTTGATGAGAGGCACTCTTGCCTTTGTAGGCAAGAGCATAAACTTCGCATACTTAGAGAGAATCGATCAACGCATACCACAACTCGCAGTTCCTAAGTATTGAAGGATATCCTCGTTGGGTAAGGGCAACATAGGTCTTCAGAAACCCAAAATGCCCGCAAGCATCACGACTCCCTGCAATGAGGTGAGTAATGATCTTGTGGACATTAGATATGCACAAACGTTCCTCCCCTCACTGACTGTATACAGCAGGCCTGCAGTCAAGGCGTAGCCTGACTCAGAATTGGGGTCCGTTTGCGGATTCCTAACAATAGGGTTGGAGACTGGGTTCTGGGGCAACATAGCTGCAATGGCTTGCCTGGTGGAATCTCCAAATGAGTAAGTCTGCACAGTCGCAGCAAATGTGTCAGGTCTACGAGAAAGTGCATCAGCAACCCTGTTATAACAACCCGTTTTGTGGTTCAGTTCAAAGTCAAAAGCGTCAATGAACTGAATGTACCTCCCCAACTTGTCATTCAACTTCCCCGGGTTTTCATCCATTGCAAGGTTAAGTGATCAAAATAAATCTTGAAGTGTTTTCTGAGTTGAAGTGGTTCCATTATTCGAGAGCACAAACGAGGGCATATGGTTCTTTCTCATAAGAAGAAGCCTGAATTCTTTGGACTTTGATCTTCTTACTTATGAATTCCACAGGCTTTATGTCAGACCCATCATGTTGCTGAAGAACAACACCAACACCATACGGACTTGCATATGTGGTCAGCACAAATGGCAAGGTAGGGTTAGGCAGTTTCAGCACAGGTGCTTGGGTAAGGGCTTTTCTTCAGTCTGGATGAAGCCAACTGTCATGTGGAAGTCCATCTGAATGGGACAAATTTGGCCAGCAGGTTAGTCAGGGGAGTGACTATAGTAGAGAAGTTCCTTATGAACTTCCTATAGTAGGAGGCCAGACCCTAGTAGGTATCGTCGTGCAAGCGTCTGCAGCACCTGCTGCATCACTCCCCTTCAGTCCAATAGCCACCCGAGTTATGGCGATCTTCTTCTTCCTTTCCAGTCACGACGCTCACCTCACGATCCAACAACAGTTTCCCTGCCACGGTCTGTCCTAAACTATGTCTACCTCTCCCCTACTACCTACCGGACCGTAGGACCTCACGAAGCAGTGTGGGCCTGAAAGTCAGCCTACGGTACCAGTGTCCCGCTGTAGAGAAAACCAGTCTCGGGCCTCGGCTGGAGGATTACCGAAAAGTCCCTGTGGGGACTAGGGCCCGTGTCAGTTACTGGTTAGGGTCCGTACTCAAAAAAAGTATAAAGACGACCCTGCTATGTTACAGCTCGGCGAGAATCTGTAAGTTCATTGCATTTCTCTCCTGTTTTCTGTTTTTTCAACTTTTTTGACAATATAGCTTTATGCGGGCCATCTCTCTTTCTTATTGTGGGGAGCATCCCTCCAGTTTCTATTCCACCTTTCAAATTCCTATTCTGCTGGCAAGTCGAAAAAATATTTCTGATAGTACTCATGCATCTGTAAAGAACCCGACGGTCATGAGAAGCTTACACAACAGGAACATGCCAGGAGTCTCAATGCACTCAAAATGGAACCAATTGCTATGCAGAAGGAGTCATGAAGCACTGAATGATGTCCCTGAATAAGCAGTGAGTAACCAGAAGGGAGACAAAGGTAGAGAAGCAGTAGAGAGGAGGAGGATAGTTTCATTAATAATCAATGGTACAGTTGAAGTTCCCCTTGCTCTTTCGGGACTTTCTACCACAACTTGCCACCTCAGTGTGCAACCTCCCCCTGAATACACTGATGGAGTCTCCCTGCAGGTGCCGGATAGGTGCGCCCAACATCGAGAACAAAGCTTGGCTATGGAGGTTGGCACCTGCCGTACTTCAGCCTCCTGGTGTGAACCGCAGCTCCAGTATCATCACCACCAACAGGTAAGTCAAGGTAAGTTTCCCTCCACTCTGTCTCTCTTCCCTCACAAGCCCTGATCACCCTCTTCCGTGCCATATGTCTATTGTACAGCTATCGCGCTCAAACACTTTCCCTCGCTATGGCTGCGGTCTCTCTCAACTTCCCTGGCTGGCGCTGCCTTCTCCTTCCTTGGCGCCAACCTCTCCTGCCTCTCCTCAGCACTGTGGGGACCAGCATCCAGCTCCAGCAGCGTGCGGCAGAACAAATGAGCTGACTGTGGCAGGCAGTTTTTTTGTAGAGGTGACCAGTCTTGGCCTGCCTAAGTTTGCCTCCTTGGGCGATGGAGATTTTTCGATCTGGATGGCCCAGATTTGCTGTTGGTGAATGTCTGGACCCAATATTCTGGAACAGTTCAGACAGCGTTTGATTGTGCACCAGATCTGTGGCCGTGGTTGACTCCTGAGAAGTCTCTGACTCTTGGGGGCACAGGCCGCGTCTTTTCACCCTGTACCCTGTACCTGTTGACCCAAGGACTTTTCTCAGACCGCTGTAAGGCACGAGACGCGACTTTTGACCCCTGAACCTAGACTTAGACCATAAGTTTCGATCTTTGTCTGTGCGGATTTTGAACTGAGTTCTTTGCAAGTGCTGTATTTGGGAACGTGAGCCCACCCACGTCGCCCTTGAAAAAAGAAAACCCCACCGTCAAACGTAGCCCAATACCCTGCACGTTTTACCCGTCAGACACCACCATTTCAGCAGACCGTATTTTGTCAAACCTGATTTTACACCGACCCTAGCCTTCCTAGTCTGAATCGTCCGGACTACAAGGTCACAATGAGGAGGGGCAACCATATGCATTCAGTTTGCACCAAAACATTTTCACAGGTCTTTTGTTTCTTTACTTTTCTACTCCTCCCTGACACAACGGGACCTACCATACATCCATGATTTCTCACTGAGTTTTAGTGTGCAGAGAACTGTGTTCAATATCCATACAGAAGTAGGCCCGGGCCGTAGCTTTTGGTCCGCTCTGTGTTTTAGGGGTCAAAAGTGGCGCCCACAGCCCTAGAACTGGTGCTAGGAAGTCCTAGGGTCAGAAGGTACTGGGCATAGGGTCAAAAGAGGCACTACAGAGGACCCCAAGGCAGGTAGCAGACTAGGAAAATCACCAGTCAGGGCCAACACGGGCGCAGTAGACCAAGATTCAGAAGTCAAACACGACCACAGATCTCCCATGCATCCAGGGTGGGGCCAAGAGGAGGCAGGCCAGGCGGAGTGAACGCAACAAAAGAGTGCCCTGGTCCCAGTCACTCATTCGTTCTACCTCGCTCTGCTTGATGTTGTCCAGAGCGCTCGAGGAGGCAGGTGTGGAGTACTGGCAAGAGGCAGACTCCGCCAGCTATAGCTAGAGTAGGGGTGCCTGTGCGTCGTAGCTTAGTATGGGGAGAGAGTGCGGATGATGGTGATTATACGTGTGAGGTGAGAGAGTGAGGAGAGAGAGTCTTACCTGACTTACCTGGCGTGGCTGGTGGATGCTGAGACAGCACCTTCTTCTCTAGACTGGCGTTCCTGAGAACCACCCTCTATGGCTGCGCTTCATGTTGGAGGCTGGAGTCACGTAAGGAGAGAATGCTGCAGGGCCTTCATCAGTGACTTGGCTTAGGAGTAGAGGGGTTGAGAGTGC